CCCCCCTCTCTCTCTCCCCCTCTCTCTCTCAGCACTCAGTGTATCCCTCTTATCCCGGACTGGCCCCGACAAGAAAGGTTGGAAGCCCGCCTCCTAAATGATCTAGATTATGTCGAGATAGCAGCGTTTAAACACCGGGGCTAGGCCCGACATTAGCAAAAAAAAAGTAATAATACATTTTTGACTACAGCTTAACATGGCTGTACATGTATACACATATATGTATAGATCTATATATACGTTCGTGTGGAAACAAAGACCCATACCCCCGCTCTCGCTCAGCACTCAGCATCCCTGTACTGTACCGAGGTTTTATATCCGGCGAACAAACTAGCTCAAGAACTTTGCAAACTGGTATGTCGTGCTGAGATGGGGGGTTATGGTTTTTCCCTTTCTCCTCACCGAGTCCGCGGGGGTAGGGAAAGGCTAGTTCGTCCTTTCTGATGAAAAGACCGTTTTCAGACTGGTGTGAGCTATGATTATAACTTAACTTTAGCACGACTGCGCTTCGAATATCGAGAATTTCCCAAAAAGCTCTCTCTGCTGAAGGCTCGCTAGTTGAGCAGCCGTAGTTTCATTGATAATTCCCTAGCGTTCATTCATGAACAGAATCTGCAGGTGCCCTCTAAATTAACCCTTCCCTACCGCCATTACTGAGGGTAACCCTTTACATTGCCAAATTCCTTTCACACCTGTAGGAACGAGGGTCTTCTCTGAGTTTTGATAACACACCTCGCTCACTCCCCCTCCTTGTGTTTGACCAGGCGTTCTTGACTCCCTAGCTCAGTTTTATTGACAAAGGCCATTAAACGAGAAGTTCTTCTGCAAAGTGTGGCGTAGGTGCTTGGAGAAAAGAGAAGATTTAATGTTTTTCTTGGGTAAAACGGAAATCTAGATAGGTTTATTGGCCAAGGGACAAGATAAGCGAGGAAGCGCGAGCTCGCGTGCGGTGCTGTGATTGGCTGATGCCAGAACGTGCACCCCTTTGCTCGTGATGGCTCGCTCTCGTGTGCCTTCCTCCTCTCCTCCCTACCTAAGCCATCCGTGGAATTTCAGCCAAAAATAGATTCTGGCTTTGACCCATCTTGAAGAATGTTAGATTTCAAGGTGTGACTTCCTGCCAAACGGAATTACAGTGTAAAAAGGGGCTTATAATGACTTCGGCCATGGCCTAAGGCGAAGACTAAGACCCCCTTCAGGCTGAGTTGACTTGAGCCAACACGGCGTCCTCTATAGAAAGGTGAGACTGCCCGAAGGTTCCTGTGACAGGTGATAAGCATTGTGTTTAGTTTTGATCCTAAGCCCGAATCGTAGCTTGCAAGCGAAGCCACCGTTCGCAGGCGCCATTCGCTGAAACGAATGCGAGGGCAGCTCGTTTTCAACATGGCGGAGTGGAGATTTTCACCGACTAGGTAAGTTTTGAGGATAATCGTTGTTGTGCGCGTTCGAACGGTTTAACTTGCCTTCATTTCAATGACGAAGTTTCCTTGCACAGAAGAGAAGTTGTTTCCAAGTAAGTTTGAGCGTTCTAAGGCCCTGTTCACCCTGCTCTGGAAACTTTTAGCTGCTTCAAAACTTTTGTTGTGAAAAGTTCTAAAGTTTGCCGAGCACAGCAGTCGACCAACGAACTAGATCTAGACTAGACTTGGCCTTCTTACGGAGGGCGGAGGAAGATGAGCCTCTCGTTTGCAGGCTCCCAACAGAGAAAATCGCCGGTTTGACGAAACTTACGTTTCCATAGGTTTGCATGTATGTGTAGTTTTTCTAAAATAGACGTGCATGAAAACGAATGATGCATTGTATTGATGGAATAATTGTTGAGCTGCACCATTGTCGCCTTTTGTTATATCTTTTATGGCCCACTTTCACTTTAAACTGGCAGTTATGTGGAACCCCCACTTCTTCTTACCTGTGTCTGCTGTGTGTTCTCTCTCTCTCTCTCTCTCTCTCTCTCTCTCTCTCTCTCTCTCTCTCTCTAGCAGCCAGGCTTCTCCTGCGTTGCTTTTGTTAAGATCTGCTTTTGTTAAGATCGTTAGCAGCTAACATAGCTGTGGCTGTGTGTGTGTGTGCATGTGTTGCTTCTTTTTCTTTACTTTAAAAAAAAAGTGTTGCCCTCAATATCTGGGGATTTTCTAAGGTTATTGTGTCAGCATTGTATGTTCCCTGGAGACAAAAGCTGCTTTGCCTGTACTACCTCTGAAGCTGAGTTGTGGTTCACTGCATATGTGTGAAGTCATGTTGTATGCAGGCCTGAAACATGATGGTAAGACTGCCTGGGATACAATAAAATGAAACCAGTAGATCTACAAACAAATTTTTTTTAAGGGACTAGCCTGACTAATGGAATTCACTACATGGATCTTTTTTGTGTTATTCTTGCCTGCAAGAGGAGGTTGCAGGCAGAGATAGAATTTTAGAAGAGAGAGATCAAATATAAAGTGATAGAAATTATAATTAAGAATCGACAAGTTACATTGCCTCAAATACTTGGAACTTTTTGTTCTACTTTTATTTGAAAAGGAAAGTTTTGGACTGGGCACTTCTCTCCGAGATGCAATTAATTTATTATATGGGGAAAAAAGGATTTAAAAAAAATAAAAATTTATTAATTTTTAAGGCTTTCTATATTGACCGTATGAGTCAAGACATTGTGAAACTTATCACGATAAAAGCTTTTACAACAGTTTTACCCTTTTGAAAGTTGTCAAAAGTACCCTTTTCTAGAGTGAACTGAGTTGAAAATCATGGAGAGATCATTTTTAGTAAAACATTTACCCGACTCTCAAAGGAATTCATCATACTCTCTCACTGTATTTCTTTTATTTTTTAAAGTAGAAGATAAAGATGGAGAACCATAAACATCATCTTGTTACTGTCACGGGCTCTCTTGACTTTAAAAAAAAATTGTTTCAATTACTTTTGTTCCTATTTCTTTCTTTTTATTTCTTTTTTGTTATATTTGTTTGAAATCGTATGTCACAAATGGGAACAAAACGGTCCAAGTGAGTAGGCCTATATAAAATATGGGGAAAACATTTAAAACTATCAGTCCTCTTTTCTCATTCATCGTATCATTGTGATAGAAAAATATAAAATTTTAGGCTGGCAAAATATTTCAAGCTGTCAGATGCGACCCATAGCAACATATTTATAAGCTGATCCTATCAGTACGTGGTCCACTTCCATCCGTGTTGGTGGGTTAAGCTATGCGGGCCGGGACTGAAGTGGATGACGGAAGAGTTACACCTGATAAGGGAATGTTGGGGTGAAGTGGTGTCAAACTGACATTGTCATTGTTGGCAGGCGTAGCAGAGTGAGACTCAAGTTTACTCTTACGCTGCTTCGGAAATTCGGTTGGAAATATTTATAGTGTTATAAAACGCTGCTGTTATCGATTCAGATTTTTTATGTTTTTATGTTAACAAAATCGCAAGTAAGTGTAAGTATTTTCTCTAAAGAATTTAAAAATGGAATGCTGTGGTGGAATTTGTTTGTCAGTGATTCCGATAGAGAGAACAGAGAGGTGTCAAGAGTAAATTTTCTCTTATTTTAGGTGACGCTGTGTCATTGGTCTGGTGATGAAAGGCTGACAGAGGATTTCGAGGGAGGAAAGGAGATGGGTAATAATAGAGGAGATAGGGCTGGGGGGGGAGGAGCACAGTACAAGTAGTGAATAGTTTGATGTTCAAGTCATTTCTTTTTCCTTAGTTGAGACAAAATTACTTATTTTTTATGTTTAAAACAATTATTTATTACCTGGACATTTATTCCATCTTCAAGAAGCTGTTTTTTCCCTCTTTGAATATTATAGAGTCAAATAATTTTTTGGGCCTGCTGTTCCTTCCAGTTCCTTCCGGTTTTACTCACACGTTTATCTTTTTGAAAGGATTTTGATAATCGCAGTTTTCACTCTTTGTCTTTTTCTGTTATGAACTCGTATTGTTTTTTTTCATACAACTCCTTGAATAGGTAAATAAATGAGCCTGATTTATGGGAGGTTGGAGAGGCTCGGATTGTGAAAGAAAAATTAAAAAATTAGTTAATCTATTTATGGCAAATGAACCGATTGAGTCGGCACAGTGTTGATTAGAGATGGTCAGTGCACTGCGCCATTCAGCTCGCTATCTACCGGTACTGTTTCATAGTTTTACTTTAAATTAGCAACTTTTGATCTTATAATTTCTACAACATCTGGTCGCCGTTGTGATATGACTGGCTGACCCCGGAGGAGTCAATTTTATGGGAGAAGCAAGAAACTTCATTGTTTTCTTTATGTAGCAAACTGACCGTGCACATGTTGTTTGGCTTTATGTAGACTAACATTTTAGTCAGGAGTATTTCTAGTGAGAATTCAAATCTGTTTCAGACTGGGATGATTTACTATCTTTTCATCAAATTTAAAAAAATTTTTAAATAACATTTTTTGGGTTAGCCAATCTTATCACAAGTGTGATGATCTGATGCTGTAAATAGGGTTCATTGTAGGCCTGTCCAAAAAAGTCAGTTTTTTGTTCCGATTTGATGTCACTTTGATTTTGAAAGAGTGAATTCATTATTTAATTCTTTTCTTCTTCGTTTGGCTACTTTTGAGATATTGGTGCTCATGCACATCAGGCTGCATTGGCACCCCATGTATAACTGTATAACAAGTAGATCATCTTTTATTTGATATTTTAATTTTGGGGGTAGTAATAACTGACAACTTTTTCTCTTTGACTTTTGGTAATCTCTCAGTGTTGACCTGATGTGCCCTTATAGGGTTTGAAGTGTGTTTAAAGGTTTTGCTGTTGTATAGTTGAAATATATTCCTGTTGTTTATTTTAGTAAGTGTTTTACGGCACTTGCAATACAATAAGGTCACATAAGTGCCGATGTGTTCCTGTTGCCCATCACATTTCCCAGTGCCACAAATCAATACAGCAATCACATCTAAGTGATTATTCATTTCAGAACTTATATAAACACCACAAACTTTATCATAGTATATATTTTTATAATTAGGGAGTTATACCGGTTTTTTTTTTTTCTACCCCATCCTGCTGATGAATACAGGGCTAAAAAAGACCTTGGGGTCAAATTGAAAAACTCGCCGGGTTATTTATAGAGAGTGTAAAAAGGCTTTAGTCTTAACTTTTTTCAAAACACTTGTCCATATTTCTAGGAGGTCAAGATTTTAAGTCAATGTTGTATAAGTGTATAAATTATTGAGACATTTTCAATGTACTAGTTACTTCTCTGCTTTTCAACACTGGATCGATAACAACAACTCTTCTTTTCAACCAAACAAGGCCCATCGTATCTAATGCAATATTAAGATGTATATATTCTTAAAATAGGCTTTGGCAGTATTCCTAACCTAGTGCTTCGTCTTTCCTATCAAACATCTATCGCCCTTATCTCCCCTTCTTCTTTTTTATGTTTGATACTCTCTTGTAACAGCTCTAATCTTCTGGAGCTCATATGACCTTATACAGTTGCGAGTGCCGTAAAACCTCTACTTAAACTAAAAAAACAACCTAGTGTACATCACTGATAGTGGGAATGTTTAGAGTAGTGTTGTTGTGTGTCTTTGTTTGTGTCCCACTTCTATCTTAGTTTCAGTGAGTGAACTTTTTCTTGGTGTTTTTGGAACAAACTATCATTATATTGCCTTTTGTCATGATTATGTAACTGTTATGCCAGGTATATATATATCTGACAAGTACAGCTGCTACACAATCATGCTACGCGTCGTTCATTTTGGTTTGTCAGAAAGCGCCTCTCGTCAGTTTTAGTTTTAGTAAGATATTTATGGCAATAGTAACACAAAAATAGAGGTCACATAAGTGCAGAAAATTGGAAGTGTTTTGAAGGAGTACTAGACAAAGAAAAGGAGGAAAGCCGAGAACGATTGATGTTTGATACACAACAGCACCCACCAGTCGCCCTCTTACTGCTGGGAAGTCCCACACATTTGTCCTTTCATTTTGTTTTTTTCCTGTCTTTCTATCTAGATTTGTTCTAATCTGTAATAAGTTGTGGTTTTCAAGTTGATCTGCTTCTTTTCATTCAAAAGCTAAATCTGTGGTCATTATCCATTATTTAGGCTGCTCATGTTTACTATGCATGCATAAATGAATTGTAAAGTAAGTTGTAATATAAAAAAACGTCTGTTCATCTTCTGGTAATAATAATTAGTTGAGAGTAAACGTGATCATGGTGCTGTATTTTCATTGGGACTGTGAAAGTAATGTCATCTGA